AATCCCCCTTCTTCAAATATTAATGTGTTTAGTACTTGATTGAAAATATGAGAATATATACAATGTAATTGTAATTGAAGACTACGAAATGGAAGCACAAAACAATTTGTAAACCAACCGGCACACTGTATGTATATATATATGGAAGATGGCTTGATGTTTTTATGTTTTGTTTGTCTATGTTCGTCTTAAAAACCAATAAAAATTAAAAAAAAAAAAAAGAATCTGAACAGTACTAACAGTCAAAGCAAATTGGTGGTAGATAAGAGTCAGTGGAATTCATGGTGGGCTGGACTTGGATCTGTTGTGGGCACAAAGGGATTCAAGACTGATGACATGTTTGTCCCCCTCCCCAGGCCATCTCCTACAGTTTTGCCTGATTTTACTGTTCTGACCAAGGCTTCCGAGACCATAATTAAGCACATGCTTAGTTAAAACAACTTTAGTTTTGTTTCAGCTCTGGGAATTATGTTCATTCCCAGCCTGTAATGAGTCCCAAACTGTCCTTCGAGATAAGCACCCACCTTTCTCTCCTTTGAAGTGCTGCCAACAATTAAAGTGCCAAATGAACTGTAAAAAAACCGAAGTACGAAGTCCACACAGAGCTTCAAGGTTAACACAATGAAAGACTTTGCTTCCTGCAAAGATTTCTTCACCTTTGCTTGTCCATTATAGCTTATGGGAGGGGCAATCACCTCCCAACCTTACTCCCAAGTCGCCCCTTTTGTTTCAGCTGCTCTTGCCTTCTAGCAGCTCTACGCACATACGCACTGGGAACAGGCTCCCCGGGGTCCTCTGCCTTGCTGCTGCCAGACTCTGGAGGCTCCGGAGTCAGTACACAACTCCCAGATGGTCCTGGCCCCATCTCCACATTGGACGCAGGACCCTCCTCTAAGTCCTCTCCAGACTCCCGGACTGGTTCCCGTTCTTCCCCACTGTCCGATTTTGCTGCCATCTGCACAGGCTGCCAGCAAACCACAACATTTACCACCTTTCTTGCCACAGTTGTTAATTGAATCACTACTGTTGTTAAATTTGCTGTTAAGCAAATCTGGCTTCTCCATTGACTTTGCTTGTCTGAAGACTGCAAAAGGGGATCACGTAACTCTGGGACACTGCAATTGTCATAAATATGAACCGGTTGCCAAGCGTCCGAATTTTGATCCCATGATCAAAATGGAGATGCTGCCATGGTTGTAAGTGTGAAAAATGATCCTACATCACTTTTCTTTGTTGAAACTTTGAATATTCACTAAATGAATGGCTGTAAGTTGAGGAATACCTGCGTTGAAAGCAGGAGAAGCAGAGCTACTGGCAGATCCAGAATGAAAGCAAAAAAGTATTATGAATTTGCCACAAACTCTCATTCACAGTTTTTTTTTCAAACAATCATTACTTCAATTCTATATGTCCCATGGAGACGATTTTCTAAGTCAGCTATAGTAGCTTGAATACCAGTTCAGTTTTTAAGGTGAAAATAGGGAATTTGCTTTGCTTGTTTGTTTGATTTATATATATCCGCCCAATTTCACATAAGTGATTCTGGGCAGATTACAACCAAATAGATCAAAACAATAAAAACCCCTAATAGAAAATAAAAATGAATATAGCAGCTGAAGCATCATAAAAAAAAAAAAATCAGCAAAATGGTTAGCTGAATCACATAAACAGGGAAACAGTCCAGGAATGACTTGGAGGTAAATATTTAAGACTGCCTTCAAAAAATGGGAGACTTTCTGTTCCATCAATTAAGTCTACATTTGGAAGTGAGGAAAAAAATTGAATGTGATTCCTGCCACATAAGACCATTATCTCCTCCTCCTCCTCCTCCTCCTCCTCCTCCTCCTCCTCCTCCTCCTCCTCCTCCTCCTCCTCCTCCTCCTCCTCTACAAAGTTCTTATTCTTCTGACAGCCTCAAAACATTAAAACTACACTGCAATTGTCTACTTGAACAATTCCATACTTGGGTGTGCTTCCCAATAGTGGTGCTGGAGAAGACTCCCTTGAGCTGCAAGGAGATCCAATCAGTCGATCCTAAAGGAAGTCAACCCTGGCTGTTCTTTGGAAGGACAGATGCTAAAGCTGAAGCTGAAATATTTTAACCATCAAATGAGAAGAGAGGGCTCATTGGAGAAGATCCCGATGTTGGGGAAGATGGAGGACAAAAGGAGAAGAGGATGGTAGCTGTAGTGTATTCAAATATAGACTTCTAATACTACATTCCTATTGGTTAGTTAACATAGCTTAACGATTGGTTAAGAAGGGCGGTTTACGATTGGCCACGTAAGCGGCGGGAAGTTTAAATACACGCCATTGGTTGTGAGCCGCGAGCAGCCGCTATAAAAAGGGCTGCCGCGGCTCGACTTCAGTTGAAGTTACTGGTTGCTAATAAAGAGCTGATTTCAACTCCGGTATTCGAGTCTGCTTTGTCCTGGTGATAGAACAGTAGTGTTGTAGCTAGTAGAGCTGGCAGTAGAGTCGGACAGTGAGGAGATTGGGGAGGAACCTAGGCCAGTCCTAGAGGCTGAGGAAGGCTCGGACAAGGGCTCTGTGTCAGAGGCAGAGATGGGGCCAGGGCAGTCTGGCAGTTGTCAGGTGCCTTCAGAGTCGGACAGCAGTGAGGCAGGGGAGCAGCTGGAGCTGGTTCCCAGCCTGCGCATGCACAGAGCTGCCAAAAGAAAAGAACAATTACAAACTAAGGGTCGACGTGGGAGTAAAGCTACAGGTGGACAGTGAATGGCCTCTCCCATAGGGATTAAAAGAGGAGCAAAAGGGGAGGGGGCTTTTGCAGGAAACAATTCGTTCGTTGCAGCAGTGTGAAGATCTGTCTGTGCATCTCAGAGACTCTGTGCTGAGTCCTTCCTTGTCAGCACTGCGTTTGGAAATATTTACTTGGCAGCTCTCCAGGCTAGATAAGGTCTGTGCTCCTAATTACACCCTTGAGAGACTGTTTGCCAGGCCTTTGGCTGAAAGTGAATGCAAGAAATTCACCTTCATTTAATAAAAGGGGTTTTGCTGGGACAAAGAGTCTGCTTAGTGCTTTTTGGGGAAGCCTAGGTCAGAACAACAGGTAGTGGATGAGATGTTTAGATAGAATTATCAACACATTGAGCATGAATTTAGGAAAACTCTGGGAGACAATAGAGAACAGGGGGCCTGGCATGCTGTGGTCCATGGGGTCACAAAGAGTCAGACACGACTTAGCAACTGAACAACAACAACAAATGCTTGGGTGGCAAATTGCATCCAATTGGACAATGAACCGAAATGTTTTTAGATCTAATTTTGGAAAAGATGGCCATTACACTTTCAATTTCAGACAAGGCCATCACTCTTCCCAAGGGGAGATGTTTCATTCAGATAATATGTACCCACAATAGAAACATTGGTGTTTCCTCTTTTAGGGGGGGTTTTCAGCAGAGCCGAGAGAAATCTCAGATTGTTGTGTTGAACCTGAATGGTCCCTCTCCTTTTGATTGCAAAGTTTCTGTTTCACTGGAGCCAAACCAAAAGTTTACAGAGCGTATTTTCCTCCAGGCCACGGATACTTTCCAAGACACCATGGAGAAGCAAAGGATTGCAACTGATCTACTCGTTCTACTACCACGTAGGAGGCCCACAAGTTATGTCAGCAGCAAAATTTGACTCAAATGCCTATGTTCCTAACATTTTGAATGTGTGTGTTTTTAACAGATGCTCCTAGTAGCTTTTTTTTTCCTTTGAGAGAATTTGTTTAATCTCTAAAGTATGAAAACAGAATAACTCAGAAGAGACTTTAGAGGTTTTCTAATCCAATGCAGGAGACCCTATACCATTTCAAACAAATGGTTGTCCAAGCTCTTCTTAAAAACTTCCAGTGTTGGAGAATTCACAACTTCCAGAGGCAAGATGTTCCACTGATTAATTGTTCTTACTGTCATGAAATTTCTCCTTAGTTCCAGGTTGCTTCTCTCCTTGATTAGTTTCCATCTGTTGCTTCTTATCTTGCCTTCAGGTGCTTTGGAAAATAGATTGGAGACCCCCCCCTCCACCTCTTCTTTGTGGCAGCCTTTCAAATATTGGAAGACTGCTATCCTGTCACCCCTAGTCCTTCTTTTCGCTAAACTAAATATACCCAATTCCTGCAACTGTTTTTTATATGGTTTAGCCTCCAGACACCTAACCATCTTTGATGCTCTTCTCTGCACTCTTTCCAGGCTCTCAACATCTTTTTTATAATGTGGTAACCAAAACTGGACTCAGTATTCTAAGTGTGGTCTTATACTAAGGCTTTATAAAGCGGTAGTGAGGTGTTCTTGATTATATCCTTCTGTTAATGCAACCTAGGATTGTGCTGGGTTTTGTTTTTGGCTGCTGCCGCACACAGCTAGCTCATACTTAAGTGATTGTCCAAGATCAGTGGTGGGATTCAAATTTTTTTACTACCAGTTCTGTGGGCGTGGCTTGGTGGGAGTAGCAGGGGAAGGATACTGTAAAATCTCCCGTCAGAGGCAGTATTTGCTGGTTCTCCAAACTACTCAAAATTCCGCTACTGGTTCTCCAAAACTGGTCAGAACCTGCTGAATACCACCTCTGTCCAAGATCTTTCTCACAGTTTCTGCTATTGAGGCAGGTTCCACCTAATATATACTTATATGTTTGCTTTTTTTTTTTACCTATATGTAAAGCCTTACATTTTTCTCCATTGAATTTCATTTTGTTAAATTCAACTTTACGAAAAGTTCAATAGGTGTCCTAACCTTCTGCAAAAGAATTTGATGTCCATTCTCCTTAGGTACCCTGTTTCTCCAACAATACGGCCTCCCCCAATAGGAAGTCCCAGCATGCTTTATAGGCATGAAATGAAATTAAGCCCCTCCCCCCAAATTAAGGCCTATATTAAAACATGCGAAATGGGGGGGAACGGTGGGGGGGCTTGCCGTTAGGAAGTACTTTTGTTGCACACCCGGATATGGTGCTGCCTGCGTTGACCCCGATACGAAGTGCCCCACCAACGCCGAGGTCAACATCCAAGCTGTTGCCGCCCGCCTGAAGATGCAAGAGGGGTGGGAATTAAGTCACCCCCGAAAAGACGACCTAGCCATTTTTTCAGGGCTCAAAAAAAAAAATAAGACCCGGCCTTATTATATGAGAAACACGGTAGTATATTTGAGATGCCATGCAGGCCAGTAATGGGATTCAATTTTTTTTACTACTGGTTCTGTGGGCGTGGCAGGGGAAGGACACTGCAAAATCCCCATTCCCTCCCCACTCCTCTAACCTGCTTTCCAGCTCCGTTCTCCTATGCAGGGCAACCAAAGAAGACCCAGCCAATCAGGTGGGACTCGGGAGGCAGAGAATAGAGGGGGGCGGGGCCAGTCAGAGGTGGGATTTGCCAGTTCTCCGAACTACTCAAAATGTCCGCTACCGGTTCTCCAGAACTGGTCAGAACTGTCTGAATATCACCTCTGATGCAGGCTAATAAGGTTCTTCACCTCTTTCTTTTAAATTCAGGAACATAAATAAAAAGTGGATATATTTTCCTCCCCCCCACCCTTCCCCCGCCTTCCTCAGATGGGAAATGTGGAGGTGGAGACAGTGATTCAGTTCCTTCTACATCTTGGACATCTTCTGTAGGAGGAGAGGATGTAACAGTGGGGGCTCTTTAGCTTAGAGAAAACTTGCTTAGATCTGATTGGAGCTTAGGGTGAAAATACTGGCAATACACGGCAAAGATATTTGTGAACAGGAAGCAATCTTTCTCGTTTCCCACAATAGCAAAACTAGAGGCCAACAAATCCAGCTGTCTAGAAAAAGTTTTTAAGTGCATAGAAGGAAACTTGTTTTTCATGTGACTTGTCACATGAAATGTGGGTCCTTGTTGCTCTCTGAGCTTGGAGGTTTTCTAGCAGACGTTTCATCACCAAACTAGGTAGCATCATCAATGCACCAGTTTGTGGAATATGCTGCCCCAAGATGTGGTGTGGGCTCCTGGTGTAAGTGGCTTTGAAAAGAGACCAGATCAATTTATGCGGAATATGTTCCTTAATGGCCACTAGCCTTCAGGCAGATGGCAGTGTAATTCTATGTACTAGAATACAGAATAATAGAGTTGGAAGGGACTTCTAGTCCCTTATTCCATTCTGGACAAATGGGTGTCTGTGATGACCCGGGGCGTGGCACAAAAGCAACAAAGTCACAAAAATAGGGAAAAGCCCTTTAATACATCCAACTTGGCCCCCAATGTCCAGTTATCATCGACTGGAGAAAAAAACTCTCCCAAAAACAGTTTTCAAAGGGAAGAAGTTCCTTCCGAACTCAAAGTACATATAAATTATAAATAAAAACCAACACAAACCATGCTGCAGAAATTAACGAGACAGGGCAGGGTAAGAAATTGAAGACTTCAAAAGATAAAGAAACACACTTGGGAGGACCCAGAACTCAGATAAGACTTGACAAACCAGAGTAATTTCATGCTTTGCTTCCAGCAACTTTGCTGTGCTCAGTTTGCCCTTTTAAACAGTCTTCCCAGCTGCATCCAATGAAGGGGATCAGGGCCCTTTCCTCCCCCATAAACCACGCAAACCACATTGCTCCCTTATTTGTTCCTCCCTACATGCCCTAGGATGAAGAGAGGGTGGGCCTGGGTTTTCCTCTGAATGCCCAGCCGGACTATGCCCTTCCCCAGTTTCCTCCACAGCCACCGGGGCCACACTCCAACTCCCTGTCAGCTGTTCCACCTCCCCCTCGGAATCAGATTCCAACAGGGGCATGACAGTGTCCAGTCTCTTCTTGAAAGCCTCCAGTGATGGAGCACCCACATCTGAAAGCAAGCAGTTCCACTGATTAATTGTAAGTCAATTAAACAGTAAGTCAATACATTTCTTCTTAGTTCTAGGTTGGATTTAATTGGATCTAGGCTGGATCTTAGTTCTAGGTTGGCTACCAGATACATAGAAACTGTGAAAGAGAAAGATTGGTCCCCTATTGAGAACTTCCTAGGTGCCTCTGGTGGGCCACCATGCAACATACAATGCTGGATAATGTCCCTAATCTGATCCAGCTGGGCTATTCTCATATTCATGTTCTCCTATGCATAGAGTGGCTAGGAGCTTAGCTTAGCAACAAAACTTTGGGCTTAGTTGTGGCTCCAAGTTGAGGACTACTTGTATAGTTTACATTTTAAAATTTGCATATTTTTCAATATATTTATTATTTTTCTCTTTATCTTTTTATAATCTGTCCGTTGTCCAGAGTCACCTTGTAGGGAAAATGGGTGGCATAAAAATGTAATGATAAATAAATACAATAAAAGCTAGGAGACTCTCTGTTTGCATTTTGCAAACATCCATTCTCTCGTTGTTGGTCTTGTCCAATTCCTCACAACCCAACGGATCACAGATTGCCAGGCTCCCTGTCCTCCACTGTCTACCAGAATTTGCCCAAATTCATGTCCCATTGCATTGATAACACTATCTAACCAACTCACCCTCTTCCGTCCCTTTCTCCTTTTTTTATTTATTTACTTATTTAGAAAATTTATATTGCCGCCTACTCGCA